AAAGAAATCAAAATCTCTCTTTTTCTTTGTGGAGACATGAGCCTCATCATCCAGCCTTAGCTGAACTTGAACTGTGGACCAAGCTGGCCTTGAACTCACAGATCCACCTGCCTCTCTGCCTTCTGGGCACTGGGGTTAAAGTAGCATACCTGGCTACTTGCAATGCTTAAATCTTCATGCCCTTCTCTTCTGACAAGGTCTGCTGCTGCACTATGAACACTGAGAGCACAGGAAATATGTAGCCCAGAGAAACCTGACCCACGGCAGGAAAACCTCTCCTAGTTCGGGTAAGGAAGACATCGGAGCATCTTGGCTAAGTACTGACCGTGGCTGGGGGGCAGCAGGCCGCTTAGGTAGGGGAGGTAGGGGAGACTTGCTCTCCTCAGCTCATCCAGCTTCTCCCGCAGCTTGCGGACCTGGCTGTCAGATCGGCTGACCCTCTGCCGAAGGCTCTTTAGCTCTCCATTCTTCTTTTCAACCTGCTCCCGCAGGCAGCATACCTGACTCTTGTTCTGCCGAGCCGAGAAGCAGTAGGAGTGCAGGGAGTCGATGAGCTTGCAGGCCCCCGAGGCCGACAGGATGACCTCATTGATGGACATGGGACTGGCATCACTATGCTCACTCTGCACAGCCTCTGCCGCTGGCTTGGGGGTTACATCAGTTGGAGGAGCGGAGGGGCTCTGGGAAGCCTTTTGAGGAGTTGCTGTAAGTGAGGAACTTGGGGGACTCTGAGCCACGCTATTCCCACTGCACCTTGGCTCTATATCTTTCTTCAGCCTCTTTCGGTCCATGGGCTCACGAGGGACAGATGGCCTCTCTCGAGTGTGCTTGGAGGAGAAACTGTATGAATGAAGTGAGCCAATGAACTTGCACGCTCCAGATCCTGGGGGTGTGAAGTCGTCCATGGAAATGCCACTCTTGTCTGCTCCACCTGCGTCTGCAGAGGAAGAAGCCTTCTGGTGGTCAGCCTCTGTAGCAGACACTTGTGCCTCTTCCTGGCCTCCGGTCAATGGGGCAGCCTGGTCATCTCCTGGAGTTCTTTCCAGAGACTGACCCTGCTCCTGGCTGACAGCACCTGGGGTGGCCTTGGGGGCTGCATCACCTTGTGGAGAAGCTCGCTTCAACTTTCGGGACTCTGGCTTGGCCATCAAGTTATCACTTGAAGACAGTGAAGAACCTATGGTTCCTTTCCCTGTTGCTGCACTTGTGTGGCCCCTCACAGCCCCTGTGGTCTTTCTCCTAGCATGGCCATGTCCTCCAGGCCCCCTCTTCTTCTCCGACAGGTGGAAAATAGAGGGCACAGCTGTGGGCTTCAGCAGGCGATGTTGGTCCTCCAGCCTTTTGGAGAAGCTGTCTTTGGTAAAATGCTCACTACAGAGGAATGAATACTTAGTTGGGGTCCAATTATCCCTCTGAACAGCTTTTAGCCACTGGATCAGTCGTTTGGAGTCCTTTAAGGGAAACCTGCAGGACAAATGACAAAGTACTTAGAAATATTGAGATGCTTTCTTCTAAAACTATCATCAATAAAAGCAAGTCAAGTATTTTTCCAAAGCAGCCAAACCTGTACTGATGTTATTTGCTTAGAACCTAGTAAGGATTTCAGGACCAGCTTGTAGGTCATTACTAAAATGGAAATGAAAAAGTCCAACTATATATATTTTAGGACACTGATTCTATCTATAGGGTATAGAGGAATGAAGGATATTTGTTGGAGTGATTGTTTTTGTGCACGTGTAGAGATTATCTTTGTATTATTAAAATGCTAATTTGTTTGTTTGTTTGTTTTTTTGAGACAGGGTTTCTCTGTATAGCTCTGGCTTTCCTGGAACTCACTCTGTAGACCAGGCTGGTCTCGAACTCAGAAATCTGCCTGCCTCTGCCTCCCAAGTGCTGGGATTAAAGGCGTGCGCTGCCGCCACAACCACCACCACCACCACCACCCAGCTAAAATGCTAATTTCTGTGCTGACAAAGATCAGATTACAGGCCTGACTTTGGTACAGTCTTTATTATGAAGCATGCCCTGCCTTAGTATTTTGTAAACATTAATCTCCATAACCTTCTGGCTGGTCAAATAAAGACCTGAACAGCCAATAGCTTGGCTGGAAAGTTAAGGTGGAACTTCCGGGCTGAAATGCAGAGTCTCAGGTAGGAATCTGAGTCCCATCCTGACACAGATGAAGAATCAGACGGCAGGATGACAGTAAGATGGACAGGTACTGGGTCACGTGGCGGGATGTAGGCTGGGCCCATGTGGTTGGGTTATAATAACTGAGAAAGCCTATAATAAATATAGTAAGTCTCTGCATCCTTATTCAGAGCAAGGGTGGGCATAGAAAGTCCATTAGGGTTATAGATATTACTCATAGGTATGGCAAATGACCCTGGGCACAAAGAATACTCAGAGACAGGAGGTAGAATCCAGACAACAAGAAATAGCTTTCACAAGTGGACCACTGACCAAATCATCTGATACCTGAAAAGTATGTTTCTTCCTGCCAGGCAATATAGCTGGGAGCAAGAAACCAGGAGAGATCTAAAGGCCCAGCTAACTACCAACCACAGCTGAGGCTCAAGTAGCTAAGGGTATAGGAAACAGCTTTAGCATAAAGACCCAAAAGCTTTAGCCAGACATAATGGTGTACAACTGTGATAGCAGTTACCCTGAGGCAGGAGGATCACAAGTTTAACATCTGCCTAGCTATAGCCTAGCAGGCAGGGTTCAGTGCCATCCTTAGCTACATACGAGGTCAGTCTCTGCTGAGATTTCTGTCTCAAGGCAAACAAAAGAGCAGGGAGTTCAGCTTCCTGATAAGAGTGCCTTGTACGCCTCGCCTAGGGATTTCTCTTAGTAGGCAGCAAACCTTTCTTTAGGAGCCTAGGTAAACTTTTGGGAAGCTATACTGAGTGAGCCAGTCATAGGTTAGGGTGGTATCGTAAACCTTTAATCCCAGCACTTGGGAGGCAGAGGCGGGCAGATTTCTGAGTTCAAGGCCAGTCTGGTTTACAAGTGAATTCCAGAACAGTCAGGGCTATGGAGAGAGACCTTGACTCAAAAGAAAAAAAAACAAAAACAAAAAACAAAAAAACAGTTGTTCGTGGTCACATGGTAGCTCATGCCTGTATTTCCCTGCACTTGGAAGGCAGAGGACGGAGGACTTTCACAAGTTTGAGGCCAGCTGACTATAACAATGAGATGTAGGCCAGCAAGGCAATTCAATGAGACCTTGTCTCAACACAGACACACCCAAACACCCCAACAAAAATGGTAATTTTTATGTAGTATTTTATGTCATAAGAGGAAAATTGGAAAAAAGTAGATGTTCAGTAACATAGTTAGTAACGTCTTCCTTCATCTAACGAAGCTATTTAATGGTCACTTATGAAGGCAAGATCTGTAAGACCAAACTGACTACATATGGTAGGCTACATACGCAAGTGGTTAAAAGCTCCACCTGAGCTCTTCCAGCTTCGAGGAACCTGCTGTGGATCAAGACTGCTCCTAATAGGATGGATCTGGACGTTGTAAGCAACGTGATCTAGATTTCTGGAGTTCCCCAGGTCTCAATTTGGGCACAATTTTACCCACATACTATGTTAGAACATGGGGAAGCCAACATCAGTCCTTGCAACACTGCCTCGTTTTCAAAAACTGTTAACAAAACTTCTGGGACGAGTTCTAAATGAAATGGTTACAGAAACATTCTGGTTGATTTGTAAGATTGTTTGACGTTACTAGGTTTTGTTTTGAACCAGGTCGTATGGACTCGAGACTCAATGTAATCCTCTAAACTTTCAACAGTCAGACACATGCCATTCCCATCTTTAAATTTTAACACCAAGTTGGCAGGATGTGCTAAGTGACTTCTAAGGCAGAGTCCCTTCGCTCGCTGTTCTCTCCTGTTGGAAATCGCAGGAAAGGACCAACTGAAATGAGTCGTCTTGAAAGCCTTGGGAAGGCGCGGCCCAAAACAAGGGCTACCCGAGAACCCTCCGGAAAGCCCTTTCCACAGTCATCCCCCGGGCCTCTGCCAGAGTGCAGGATGCGGGAGGTGATGAGTGTCAGTGCCTGGGCCGCAGGACCCCGTAGGAGAGCGATGAGGGCTATGGATGCAGGAAGTAGAGCTGCGTGCGCCGGGCCGCACTCCTGCCACACACCTCCAGGCGGGCTTGCCCCGCCGAGGCAAGAGTGGAGAACTGCTCGAAACCAAAGAGCATGCTTAAACTGAGAATGCGCCCTTGCAGAATACTTCTGAAATTGGCAGGGCCAGCCCAAATCATTGCGACGCCCGTTGGTGGAGGTGGCGGCGGGGGCCTCCGGCCGCTCTGCCCGAGGCATGGCCGTGCTGGTCCGCAAAGCCGGCGGTCCGAGCCAAGGTCACAAAGCTCCACGACCTGTCCACCTCCCACAGTTACACCCGGCCAGCCGGCCCCCCACTCCCGGTCCCCCGAGCTCGGCCCGCCGCGCGGCCTCAGTTTCCCCGCGGGCCCGGCCAGGGCGGGGGCGTGGCGGACCCGGAGGCGGGCCGCGTACCTGTGGAAGGAGACAGCGCGTTTCTCGCCCTTGCCCTGTCTGTTGGAACAGTTCACGGCCGCGCAGCAGATCACCATTGCGGGCCTCGGTCGTGAGCGCCGCCAGGCTCCGATCCTTGCCGCCCGCCCGCTGGCCCGACCCGCCCCGAGGGAGCGCGGCGACACAGCTCGGGACGTGGGCCGCGGCCGAGCCGTACGGCAAGATGGCTGCGCGCTGCCGCCCGCACCACGCTGCGCTCGGGCTGCCCGGCCACGGCGCCAGCGTCGCGGCCGCAGCGGGCGGTGAGTCCGTACCGAGACATGCGCGGGTGGCTGTCTGTACGGAAAGATGGCGGCGCCGGAGGAGCGCCGCTCGGGCCGGCTCCGGGGCGCTCCGAAGTAGCGGCGCGGGGCGGGGGAGGGGGCGGGGCGGGGGCGGGGCGGTTGGGTCCGGTTAGGAACCACACGCGCCGAGGCCCCGCCCCCGCGTTCCCACCGCCGTACGGCGAGATGGCGACGCCCGCGCTTCCGCTGCGCCGCGCTTGGCTACCTCGGCTTCCCGTCGCTGTGTCGCGCAGTAGTCCGTCGGAGCGACAGCACGGTCAGTCGGCGGCCGGACAGGGAAGATGGACGCAGGTAAGGAGGGCGGGCGCTTGCCCTGTCGCGGGCGGGCTCCCGTGGCCTCCCGTTGGGGCGGAGGCCGGTGTTTTGGGCTGGGCGGGCCGCGCCTCTCCGCCGCGCTCCGTACCGGGTTCGCGGGGCCACTCGTCAGCACCGCGGCCTCCGGCGCCTAGCCGAGGCCCTTGGGGAGCGTCCCAGCCTGTGAGCTCGTGGCTGCGGGCGTGAGGGCAGGGAGTCTGAGGGACGTATCAGGACGCGAGCACCCTGGTGCTCCGGGGTGGACCCGTGCGCCGCGGAGCTAGGCCTTACCCTGCCCAGGGAAGGAGCCGACCTCTTTAACTTCTGTCAAGTTGTTGGCTGATGGCCCAGCAACCACAACATGCACATCTTTTGTCTTTGAAGTTCAATAACCTGTATAGGTGATCCAGGCTCCTGTTCTGACAGCGGATCAATCAGTTCCTACTTTGACTTCTTGGGGTCCTAATACTGGGTTAAGTGTGGGTGGGTTTGTTTTTTTAGCTTTTTAAAAATTGACTCTTGCTTCCGAAGCTGGAGAGTACATACAGTTCTTTGTTTATATTGGCAAAATGTCTTGGGAGATGCAAGTCTGTCAAATACGTTGTTAGTTCATAGCCCTAAAAATACTCAACCACTCCCCAACAGAGGTTCTCTCTTTCATTCCCTCAGCAGCTCTAGCGTTTTCGGTTTTTGTTTTGTTTTGTTTTTTTAAATAGCGACCTTGCCTTCAAGAGCCCACTCCTTTGTGAAGGAGTCCTGCTAGCTGATTTCATTGTACCTGTCTTGAATGGCGTTGCTTTTGATATTTTTCTTCTGACAGCAGTATTATAGATGTTGACTCTTACTTGGGAGTAATGCCTGCAGTTAACACACATTTCAATAGTTTGTAGCATCTGTCTCTTCAGTGTTTTTAAGTAGCTGGAGGAAGCAGGAACCTTGATGAGCCAAGATGCATGAGCCAGGTGTTTATTTTGTGAAGTTAATTTTTTTTTAGAATGAATAACTGAAGCTGCCACCCCACAGTGCTTGCTGGAAGTATGGAATGGAATAATACATTGGATTATTTAATTATCCTCTCCCCTGCTCTTTTAAAAGACAGGGCCTCACTGTTTAGTCTTCTCTGATCTTGAACTCAGATGTGTAAACCATGCCGACCCAAGACTCAAGAAATACACTTGCCTGCTTGTACGTCCCCAGTGCTGCAGTTAAAGGCACACTACCTGCCTCCAGCATTGAGTGCTGCTGTAAAGTCAAACTCAAAAGACATCTGTGTTTGAAGACTTGTGTTAATGCTGATAAAAACACATTTTTTTTTTTTACAGTATGATGGTGCAATTTTTCTCCTGATATAATTCTGGATGGTCTTTTATGATCTACTCTCTGATCCCTGGCCACCCTTGTAATATTGCTTCTGGTTGTTCTTATAATTGTGTATACTGTTCATTCTCTCTCCCCCCTCCCCCCTCTTTCTCAGCAGGGTTTCTCTGAAAAGCCCTCACTGTCCTAGAATTCAGAATATAGACCAGGCTGGCCTTGAATTTACAGAGATGCCTCTGCCTTCTAAGTGCTGGGCTTAAACAGTGTGAGCCATCATGCTCCACTTAACTTGATCTTTTTATAAACTACATTTGTTATTGAGTGTCAGGAGTTGTAATCTAGACATTGGACTAGAAAAATGGACAAAAGAAAAGAACTGCTGTCTGAGGCTCCTGATGTTCTCTACAGGAGCCCAAAAGTATATAGATAGGGCTGGGTGGTGCGTATATGTGAGAGTGATGTGTGCCAGGTTATAGGGACTGGAACTGTAGCAGGAGGGGTAAGATTTTCAAAATTTTTTAGATAATTCATTATTTCCCCCTTCCCTCTCTCCCTCCACACTGTCTTAGGTACACCTACCATTTGCTCTCTGAAAGTACATTCTTGTCAAGACTAAACCAAAAATAAAGCGGCATGGAGGTTCATGCCCCCCGGGTTTGAGTGAGCTATAGGACTGGAGAGATGCTCAGTGGTTAAAGAAGTAACTTGCTGGTCTTCTGGAAGACCCTAGTTCGGTTCCTAGTACCTATGTTAGGTAGCCATAATCCCTGTTACTCTGGTCCAGGGGACCCAGCGCCTAAGGCATCGCACTCACATGCACACACCCACATGAGACATATGCCTACACTATTTGGTTTTTGGAGGCAGGTTTTCTGTGTAGCTCTGGCTGTCTTGGAACTTACTCTCTAGACTGGGCTGGCCTTGAACTTGAACTCAGAGATCTGCTTTCCCTGGCTCAGAGTACTGGGATTAAAGGCATGTGCCCCCCCCACCCCCCCCCCCCCCCAGTTTAGGTTTGTTTGTTTTTTTTTGTTTAAGTGCAAAGATGGTGAAAGGTTATTTAGGTCAATCATGGATCCTTGCTGGGTCACTGTGAGGACTCACAAGTTTATTCTGAGTACGATTCCTTGGAAGGTTTTGAGATGAGTATGTGAAATTTAATAGACTTGCTCTGGATTTTTTTAAAAAACATTTTTTATATAAATTGTATTTATCTTTTGAGATTAAAATATAATTACATCATTCTCCCTTTCCCTTTTCTTCTTCCAGCCTCCCCCATATATTTCCTCCTTGCACTCTGTGTGTGTGCCTGTATTCCTTAGTATATAAATAAAACCTGCTTAGTCTGTATATTGTTATTTGCTTGTGCATGATTTCAGGGAGACTGTTTGACACTGGTGTGCTCTTCCATGACGGAAGACTCTTTCTCTTGCTCTCAGCATTCCTTAGATGACTGTAGTTCTTTTTCTCAGGTTGGGCCCCCATGAGAGAGAGTTCCTCCTCCTCAACATGCCTGTTGGTGTGTCCTTGTTCAGGTCTTGTTTAGCAACTATGCTAAGTGGATTCTGGGTCGCTTCTCTGATATTCTAAGAGATGTGATCTTACAGCAAACTTCCCATTCTTCTGACTCTTAGAGTTTTCAGCCCCACCTTTCCCTAGAGTCCCTGAGCTTCAGTGCAGGAGCTGTGTTGAGGATGTGACAGCTGGGATGAGCACCACATGGCGCTCTGCATTCTGGTCAGTTTGTTCTGTAACAGTTGCCATGTGTTGCAAAGAGAGATTCACTTGTTGAGAACTGAGATCTACACTTGTGGATATATGGGCAAATATTTGGGTTGTAGTTAGGAATTATGCTGGTGTAGTAAAGTAACCACTGTAGGTTCTCCAAGACCCATGGTGATATTAGCCCCAGCCAGGTAGATGGCTATAGGTTTCCAGTTCCAGGCATGATTTCCCTCTTACTGAGCAGGTGTGTGTGTGTGTGTGTGTGTGTGTGTGTTGGTACCCATGCACACATGCTGTAACATAGAAGTGGAGGTCAGAGGATAAAGCCCTCCTCCACCATGTGCAATTGAGCTCAGGTGTCAGGCAATAGCTTAACCATCTTGCTGGCCTTGTTCTGACTTTCCTGTTGAGAGTGTACTGAAGAGGGAGGAATCTGAAGCAAGATGAGGTAAGGGCCTTCGTCAGTAAGACATGTAGAGAGATGCTGTAGACTTGGTGGATCTTAGATTCCAGATGTGTGGTGAAGGTCAAGACACCAGATTTTATTTACAAGTTGGAAGTTAAGAGGGCTTGAAAATGGCACTGGGTTTTAACTGTACAAGCTAAGGAAATTGGATGGAGAGGACATACTTGGTAGAGACTTGATTTGGTTTTGCTGAGTGTGAGGTGTGTGGCTAGTCTTTGCTACTTTGTGAGTTCATCTTTCACCCTCCTCTATCTCTTTTCTTCCACCCTTTCAACCCCCAACACTATATAGGAGAGGAGAAAGGATGGGGTGGGGGAAGGGAGGAGCTCCCTGAATAAAGTCGGGGCGGAAAAGGGGTAACGTTTTCATTAGACTACTTCCTGCTGAGTAGGAGTTTTTTGGGGGTGAGTTTGATCTTTACCATCAGGATATCTAATTTCTTCCCATTGTTTCTTTGCACACGACTACTTAACAAACTTAGACCAACCACAGCAACCAACAACTCACCATGCCTCTCTGGGGCCCGAGCATTTATCTACCCTCTGAAAAGTTCCTAGAATTCCAAGTGTTACACAATTGTAGAAATTACCTGCAGTGGCAAAACCATGTTCTGCCAGAGCACGAGGCAAATCATAGCTACTATAGACAATCTGAAGCAGCCCCGTATTCCACACCTTGGGTTAATGAAAAAATATTTTTATAATAGTTATATGTTTTTAAAGAAACCAGAGGTCTCACTACAGAAGTCCTTGTTAGATGACCAAATAGCATTATTACTTTTTTTTTTTTTTGGAGACAGGGTTTCTCTTTGTAGCCCGGGCTGTCCTGGAACTCACTCTGTAGACTAGGCTGGGCTCGAACTCAGAAATCTGCCTGCCTCTGCCTCCCAAGTGCTGGGATTAAAGGTGTGCGCCATCACTGCCTGAGACTAAATAGCATTATTAAGGGGCCATTAGTTACATAGTCTTGGAGCTAAAGGAATAGCTTTATACTAAAGATAAGCAGAAAGCTGTTATCAGATAAAATTGTCCAGGGTCTGCATGTAAATAGGAAATAAACAGAGGCCAGGAGGGAGCCCACGTCTGCTAATATAGGGAAGTGGAAGGCCCAAGTGGTTTGGTTTGCCTCTCCACCTCTGTCCCAGCACTGTGTACACAAACATGCTCCTGGCTGAAAGAAGTGTCGGTGATAAGGGGAATGGGTCAATCAGTAGAGTACTTACTGAACAAGCACAAGAGTCTGAGTTTGGATCCTTAGCATCTACATAAAAGTGAAATGCAGCAGCCACTGGTCTCTGTACACCTGTGTATGTAGTCCCATGGAATTTAAATTAATGACTTACCTATCCCTCTTCCACAGATTGAGATACCTAATGCAAATCCAGTATCCAAAATGCTCAGTAACTGCTAACCTGATGGATGCTATGTATGGAAAAACTACCTGAGCTCATGTCAAAAGTCCCACAAGAGGATGTAGCTCAGTGGTAGAG